CATTATCAATTAAGTAAAAGCAAATTAAATCAGAATAAAGTTAACCTTTATTTATGCCGTTATGCTGACCATGGCGAATTACCTTTTTTAGCCGATAATGTCCCTAACAGTTTACGGTGAAAAAAAAGAAAAAAGAGTTCTAAATACACTTTTACCGGACTTTTTTGTAACTATTTGGAAAAAAATTTATAAAATATAATATGGAACAACACCATGCTAAACCTCCAAAAGAAACTAATTCTTTATATCTGAGAACATCCAGTCGGGCGAAAATAATCCCAAGGACATAAAGTTTAAAACATAAAACAATAAAGTAAGTTCAATTGCTTAACTAAATTGCCTTAAATTAAAGACAGTTGCTAATTCTGTCTAAAAATTAGCAAAATAAAGAAAAATAACAAATAATTTATAAAAAATATGCCAAAACAAAATCCATATTTAATAGAAAATAAGGAATGAAGATACGAAGCAGGAGGAGATGGAAAAGAATTGGTAATTAATGAAAAGGAGATTAAGGTAAAAGGAAAAAAGGTTAAAGTTGGATCCCAGCATTTAATTCATACCATTAATGATAAAAGTGATAATTCATCAAGTGCTGAGTTATGAAATGGAGGGTTAATGGCTCTTGATGATGTTGGCGAAGCCCAGTTTGCTAGACTTACAACTTCGGCAGGAATGAGTTCAGGAAAGGGAGGTTTGGTAGCAAGTGGAGGGCTTGACAACACTGCATTCAGGGTTAAACCTGATGAAAAAAGTGAGGTTAGACTTATAAGTGGCTCGCTCGGAGGTGAAGCAGGAATAGGTGCAGGGGGTGCTACTCTTGGATATTCAGCAAATTTAGATATAATGAGTGTTAAAAAAGAAGGTTTTCAAGTGCGGGCTGGGTTTGATGCTGGAAGTAGTGCAACAGTTGGTTTTGGTGGTGTAGAAGTTAAAGCAGCCGGTTTTGGTCTTAGCGTTGGTAAAAAAACGGGAATAAGTTTGCCTTTTGGAGAAGTATCAGTAGATTTGGAGGAAACTTGTGTTGTGCAGTAAGTGTTATAAAAAAATACCAAAAGGAGAAGAAGTTGCTAAGACTGCTGGTTATTGAAAAGT